AATTAATTTAGATTTATTTACTGTTTTAGTGCTCCACACAGCTTTTCCATATGGAGTTGTGATTTGCTTTGCCTGGAATGTTCCACAGTACGGCATTAAGTCAAGGTACTGGTCAAAAACTAATGGCTATGACCTCGAATGACTTGAATTTATTAAGTTGAATTTATTATTGATTTTATTGAGTATTTCCAACTCATTTAGATTTATTTCCTGGGTCTATGTACGTAGCTCTTCTAGAATGTTCCACAGTACGGCATTAAGCCAAGATACTGGTCAAAAACTAATAACTATAACTTCAAATTACCTGAATTTATTAAGTTTATAGTTAAGATTTTATTGAGTAGTTCCAACTAATTTAGATTTATTTACTGTTTTAGTGCTCTGTGTCACTTTTCCATATTTACTTGTGATTTGCTTTGCCTGGAATGTTCCACAGTACGGCATTAAGTCAAGATACTGGTCAAAAACGAATAGCTATAACTTCAAATGAGTTGAATTTATTATGTTGAATTTATTAAGTTGATTTTATTGAGTATTTCCAATTAATTATGATTTATTTACTGTTTTAGTGCTCCACACCGCTTTTCCATATGGAGTTGTGATTTGCTTTGATTTGTTTTGCCTGGAATGTTCCACAGTACGGCATTAAGTCAAGATACTGGTCAAAAACTAATAGCTATGACCTCGAATGACTTGAATTTATTAAGTTGAATTTATAGAGTATTTCAAAAATAATTTAGATTTATTTACTGGCTGAGAGCTCTATGGTGCTTTTTCATGGGAATTGCGTTGACTGGAATGTTCCACAGTACGGCATTAGGCCAAGATACTGGTCAAAACTAGTACTTATAACTTTAAATGACTTGAATTTATTTATTAAGTTGATTTTATTGAGTAGTTCCAACTAATTTAGATTTTTTTTACTGAGTCTACAGCTCTACGTAGCTTTTCCATATGAAGATATGATCTGCTTTGCCTGGAATGTTCCACAGTACGGCATTAAGCCAAGATACTGGTCAAAAACTAGAACCTATAACTTTAAATGACTTGAATTTATTAAGTTGATTTTTATAAGTTGATTTTATTGAATAGTTCTAACTAATGTAGGTGTATTTACTGGGTCTATGGCTTTATGTAGCTTTTCCATATGAAGATATGATTTGCTTTGCTTGGAATGTTCCGCAATATGGCATTAAGCCAAGACACTAATAGCTATGACTTCAAATGACGTGAATTAAGTTGATTTTATTGAGTGGTTTCAGCTAATTTGGATGTATTTACAGGGTCTATGGCTCTATGTAATTCTTCCATATGGAGATGTGATTTGCTCTACCTGAAATGTTCCACAGTACGGCATTAAGCAAAGGTACTGGTCAAAAACTAATAGCTCTAACTTCAAATGACTAGAATTTATTATGTTGATTTTAATTGAGTAGTTTCAACTAATTTACTAATTTAGATGTATTTACTGGACTGTGAATGGTCTATTTTACTGTTCCTATGGAGATGTGATCAACTTTTTCTGGAATGTTCCACAGTACGGCTTTAAGCCAAGATACTGGTCATAAACTAATAGCTATGATTTCAAATGAGGTGAATATTAAGTTGATTTTCTTGAGTCTTTTCAACTAAATATATATATATATATATATATTTTTTTTATACTGTTTTAGTGCTCTGTGTTGCTTTGCCTGGAATGTTCCACAGTACGGCATTAAGCCAAGATACTGGTCAAAAACAAATAGCTATGACTTAAAATTTGGCGAATTCAGTTGATTTTATTGAGTAGTTCCAACTCATTTAGATTTATTTACTGGGTCTACGGCTCTATGTTGCTTTCCCATATGAAGATGTGATTTACTTTTTCTGGAATGTTCCACAGTACGGCATTAAGCCAAGATACTGGTCCAAAACTAATAGCTAAAACTTCAGCTTGAATTTATTGAGTAGTTTCAACTAATTTAGATGATCTCCATGATGAGTTCACTACACAAAATCTGCTTTTAAGGCCATTTATCTGACAATAGGACAGTTTTTCCTGGTTAATATTGGCAAAGACTACAAGATTATAGTTGAAATATGTGTACATTTTATTTTCTTATTTCAGGGATGCATCGTAAAACAATAATAAATCAAGTCAAATCCACTTAAAACGGTCACCTTTATGTAGCTATACGTTTTTGCAGTGCAGGCATGCTGGGTGCAAAAATAAAATTGACATTCTCCAAGGCCCCAAAAATTATAAATAAATAAAAAATGCATTAACTTTGTTGCAGGTCAAAAATTTCACACCAAGTTCATTCCAGTGCCGGGCTCGCTGAGTTTAGACCAGTGCAGGATGAGACGCTGGTGTGAAAAGAGCAGCCAGAATCATTAGTTTGAAGCTCTGTCCAGCCATGCACAAGAGGCCAATGGAGATTCACTCTTTACTTTTTAGAAACGTTTTTGGTTTTGTCGTTTCAGCGGGACACTCCTCTGTGTTCTGCTCTCGCCAAACGTCTCTAACCAACACCGGACTCGGTCAAAAATGAGTTAGAAGGACTTCCGTTTGAGTAGAACTGGGCGTCCCCTCCGTTTGGTGAGGACTAAAGGAGAGTGACGTCGTGTAGAGTGTACAAGTCCAGTCAAATGAAGCTCATCGAGGCTTGAGGTTATAGGAGAGAATTCCATATTTAAAATTCCGAGGAATACACGAGAATCATAGCAACCAAAAAGCCAATTTTTCACGACCTAAAGTGAATTTTCCATGGTTTTACGACACCTAAATGTGTAGAATTGATCAAACTTTTAGGGATAAATCTGAAATGTGAACTCTTTCCACTCACCTTATGGTTTGGGATTATAGTTTTTAACATACAAAATCCTGTCAGTGCATTTATTGTCGTCTAGTTTAAACAACAACGCTGTAGTTGTGAAAGAGATACTAAAATTCCATGACCGTGGGAACCCTGTAGTAATGAAAAACCATCTCGAAATACCTCCGAACAATACAAGTTAATATTCTGAATTCAAATTGACTTCTATGTAACTTTTACTTTTTGTCTGTGTAACATCGGATTTAAATGACCTAAAACGTGTTGAGAAATAGAGGTCTGCGTGGGACAGAATTTTCGGTCCCACTCCCGCCCGCATCTGTGATATTTTGTCCCACTCCCTCTCGCAAATCCCGCAAAATGTTGACATTCGCTTTCTTAAACTCTATCAGACACTGAGAAACGGAAAGGAATTGTTTAAAATGTGTGCGAGATTAGACCACGTCCGCAAGTTTAGGCTGTTTTTATTAATGCCAAATAAAATATCCAGCACAAATGATGTATGATAGGCAAACATATTTTATTTTACACTCATATTTAGTTTACGGGACTGCAGTTTATCATCCCAAAAGCCCGCTCCTGTGCCACAATGAGCTTTCAAAATGTGTCCCACGCTGCGCCGAATTTATTAAAAATTACATATGTTTGTTTCCATTCCATTAAAATGACAATATGTAAGTTTTTAGACCCCGTTTATAGTTAAACAAATCTGCGAATCACCGTATCATCAGAAATGATGTGCGTCCGCAAGCAAAGTCTTCCCTATCCACACAACTTTGAGCATATTTGTTTACGTTTTACAGAAACAAAACTTAAAACCACATGGCTCATTTGCATAAACTAAGCGCTCAAAAAAACAGCTCTTTCCTTGTGTTGTTGATGTTGTCAGTTTCTGTCGGACTAAAGGACATGGCTCAGTGGAATATGAGTGTTCTTTGTGTGACAGAGGGGTGTTCTGCTGATGGTGAGTCCGTTCTGTGGAGTTGGTTCATGTGAAACTTTTCAGAGATTATATGTGTGCAGGTCGTACACACAGACACACGTTTATATACTATGAATGGACAAATATTCTCGCCTCTTAGTGTTTTGTCGGTGAATGACTTTGCGGCACATCAGTGTTTTCAGGCGTCCACACGGTGCCGGATCAGATCTGTACCGACATGAATTCGTGGGAGTTGGAGGCACCAGATTGTTCCGTCTCTGGAGCAGTTTTCAGTGAGAACGAACTCTGCATCCACAATGAAAACAACTCAAATACGAACTAGTGTGGACGGGGCCTTAGAGGGAAGGTCTGTTGTTGTTTTGCTTGAAATGTGCCACAGAACGGAATAAAACTTCTGTCATTTCCACCAAACCAAGTCTTTTTTTTTGGCACTAGGGCTGCAACTGAAGATTATTTAGTAATTAACGAGTCAAACGATGATTTTTACTGGACATTACGACTATTATTTGGCATAATCAACCCAGTGAATGTTGATATTTAGAGAATGTTGGCGTCTAAATACAGAACAGTTTAATTTAAAAATGCCATTTGTTATAATTCGATTCCGTTCCAACTTGTATCAGTGTTTTTTTTTTTTTTTTTTTGCAGTGTTCGCTGCAACTTGGTCGAGCACCAGCTAACCACTCTGCCGCGAAGCCTGCCAAAGCTGCTCCGGTCTGACGGAAGACAGACGTCGCCATGGAGACAAGCAGGTAGTGAACCCTCCACCGGGAATGTTACGCAGTGCAGCTTTTCCACAATTAAGCCAAAATACAATTAAAGTGACTTGAATTTATTATTTTAATCGAGTCGTTTCAACAAATTTCGATAATCTCCATGGCGATTAGCAGGTAGCAGAAAAGTTACACAAAAAATTACACTTGAAAGTAAATATTTAATGTAGAAAAGTTACGCAGTGCAGCTTTTACCAACTAATTTCAAAATCATGCACAAAATTCAACCAGTTATTTTCGTTTTAAACTGGTGTTCTTGTGTTCAAAGCTTTAAATGCAAAGCAAAAAAATAATCCAAGATGCAAAATCTAAAAAAAAATAAAATCAGCACGTTTTTGAGATTTCAGTTTAGTATAATCTCGTTTTCATGCTTTTTTTCTAATCCTGTAAAAGCTTTAATCAACACGGATCCACTGAAGGAAGCAAGACCAAAATAAAAAAAATTTAAAAAAGAAGCGTCGTCAAACTCACCGGTGACTTCTGGAGAAAAGGCAGCGATCGGTTCTGTAAAAAAAAAAAAAAAACAGAAATAGAGAGAGACGGTGTTAGATAAAGTTTTAATGTGAGTAAAAAGTCAAATCAAATGTCACGTAAATGTCGACGCGTCAAAAAGTGGAGGGAATTTCGGTTTCAAACGTCGTGTGGGATTCAGAGATTAAAGATTTGATATAAAACATATTTTAAGCTGCACTGTGTAACTTTTCTGGTGGTTGTTATGGTGACGGAGCTACGTTACTGCCTCCAGGACTAAACTAGGATTAAACCAGGACTAATCCAGGACTGTACCAGGACTAAACTAAAACTAAACTGGGACTAAACCAGGACTAAACTAAACTAAACTGGGACTAAACCGGGACTAAACCAGGACTAAACCAGGACAGAACTAAACCGGGACTAACCTAGAACTAAACCGGGACTAAACTAAACCGGGACTAAACTAAACCGGGACTAAACTAAACCAGGACTAAACCGGGACTGTACCAGGACTAAACTAAACCGGGACTAAACCAGGACTAAACCAGGACAAACTAAACCGGACTAAAACTAGACTGTAAACTAAACTAAACCAGGACTAAACTAAACTAAACCAGGACTAAACTGGGACTGTACCAGGACTAAACTAAACCGGGACTAACCTAGAACTAAACTAAACCAGGACTAAACCGGGACTGTACCAGAACTAAACTAAACCGGGACTGTACCAGGACTAAACTAAACCGGGACTAACGGACTGAGCTGTGTTTCTCTCTGTCGGTGGATTTGTGTCTGGGTTCGCTGGGGGGTGAAACTGTTTTTTTTTGTTTTATTTTTCAAGTTGTTTATCGGCCGAGTCCAGTTTTCGACGCGAGAGGATTTTTTTTGGCGGCGTTCTGCGTCCGCCGCCTCAGACTTTGATGAGTTGGAACGCAAACAAGAAACGAGTGTGAGCGTGTGAAGGGGAAATGAGAGAGAGGAAAAGTGTCCGGGGAACCGACGCCGCCAACGCCGACGCCGAGCGACGTCTACTGCAGCCGCCGATAAGAGACGGACCAGCATGCACCGGGGCGCGACGGGGACGACACGAAAGACCGAGAGGAGACGGAGGGAGAGGAAGAAGAGAGGAAGAAAGTCACTACCTCCTCACTTACTCCCTCTACCCTCTTCTCCACTCCTCTCTACTCTTCTCTTCCTCTCCCTCTCCTCTCCTCTTCCTTCTTCTCCTCCCTGCTCTTCCTACATCCTCTCCGCCTTCCTCTCCTCCCCCTTCCTCCTTCCTACATCCTTTCTTCTGTTCTCTTCTTACCTCCTCTTCTCTACCTCCTCCTCTCTCTCTACTCCTCCTTCCTCCTCTACCTCTTACGTCCTCTCCCTCGCTCCTCTCTCCCTCTCCCTACTCTTCCTACATCCTCTCTTCTCTTCTTACATCCTACACCCTCTTCCTCTCTCCTCTTCACTCTTCCTTCCTCATCCCTACTCCTCCTCCATCCTCTCGTCACCTCCTCTTCTCTACACCCTACAACCTCTCTACTCTCCTACCTCCTCTACTCTCTCCCTCTCCCCTCCTCCTCCCTACCTCCTCTCCTCTTCCTACATCCTTTCTTCTGTTCTCTTCCTCCTACCTCCTCGCGCTCTCTACCCTCTCCTCCTCTACTCTACGTCCTCTCCCTCTCTCCTCCTCCTCCTCCTGCTCTTCCTACATTCTCTCTTGTCTTCTCTTTTCTCTACTCTTCCTACCTCTTACATCCTACCCTCTTCCTCTTCTCCTCTCCACTCTTCCTTCCTCATCCCTACTCCTCCTCCATCCTCTCTTGTCACCTCCTCTTCTCTACACCCTACAACCTCTCTACTCTCCTCCCTCCGTCGTCTCTACTCTTATCTTCCTACCTCCTCTTTCCTCTCCTCTCCTCGTTACTTAAAACTAAGCATTGCAAGACCTGCATCTGCAGTGTACAGTGTTTTGTAAATATTGAAAATAAAACAAACTCCGTGTGTTTGTGTATAAACAGTGTGTGTGTTGTACTTACGTGTGCAGTCCTCTAGGGGCACTCCTGAGCTGATGTGCAGGTTGTCGATCCAAACGTGTCCCCGAGTCCCGTGGTCGAAGAAACCCTCCATCACCACCTGAAACAAAAACACACACAAAAACACCCGGTTTAGTCCTGGTTTAGACCTGGTTTAGTCCTGGTTTAGTCCTGGTTTAGTCCTGGTTTAGACCTGGTTTAGACCTGGTTCAGTACTCAGATAAAACCAGGTTAAGTTTAGTCCCATTTTTGTCGTTTTTGTTCAAATATCCATCGATACTCTAGAAAGAACAGATTTGTGTTGTACTACAGCGAGTTCTTGGGTAAAAGTAGTAAAAGTACTGCATGTGAGCACATTTTACAGTGCATACTTTTTGACTTCACTACATTTTGGGAGCAGGTATTTGTACTTTCTACTCCATTACATTTTTAACATGTTTATAGTTTGAGTGACACAAATAAAAACAGCTACAAAAAATAATATCGATTTAATTGTTTCTGTATCAAAATCACTAAATTTGAAGTTTTATTAGACCTAAAAATGTGTGGGAAATACTTTTACTTTTTAAGTACCTGATTTAAAAATGTGCTTTAATACTTTCACTTGAGTATTTTGTTGCTCCGGTATTTGTACTTTTACTTCAAGGCAAAAGCGAAAAAGTAAAACCGTAACAACAAACCACCAGAAAAGTTACACAGTGCAGCTTTAAAGTAACAAAACAACAAAAAAGGAGGAGTTCTGTTTGTAACTAACAGAAATGATCCGGTTCAATATTTGTGAATTTATCCGCTCTGCTACTACTACTACTACTACTACTACTACTACTACTACTACTACTACTACTCTGTTACTTCTATTTGTATACTACCTTCTCCACTATTACCTCTACTACTTCTAATACTACTACCACTACTACCTCTAATACTTCTACTACTACTTCTAATACTACTACTACTACTACTACTCTACCTCTAATACTACTACTACCTACTCAACTACTACTACCACTTACTACTCTACTACTATCCACTTTACCCCTATTACTTCTACTACTACTCCCTCTAATTCCTCTGCTACTTTTAATACTACTACCGCTACTACCTCCAATACCATCTTTACTACTTCTAATACTTCTCATACTACTACTACTACCACCTCTAATACCCCTATTACTTCTACTACCACCACCACTACTACCTTTAATACTTCTACCTCCAGTACTTCTAATACTACTACCACTACTACCTCTACCTCTAATACTTCTGCTACTTCTACTTCTAATACTACTACTACCATCTCAACTACTACTACCTCTAATACTTCTAATACTACTGCTACCTCCACTACTACCTCTAATACTTCTACCTCTACTACTTCCAATAATACTACCACTACTACCTCTACTCTACTACGTCTACTACTTCCAATACTACTCCTACTACCTCTAATACTTCTACTACTACCACCTCTAAAACCCATATGCTACTACTACTACTACTACTACTACTACTACTACTACTACTACTACTACTAATACTACTACTACTACTACTACTACTACTACTACTTCTATACTTCTACTACTACTACTACTACCTCTAATACTTCTACCTCTACTTCTTGTACTTGTACTTGTACCTCTCCGACCTCGCACCCTCAGAATTTTCTCGTTTGTCTCATTTCCTCGTGTCGTTTTTATTTTTCGTCTCATTTCTGTTAAAAACATTCTGCTCGTTCCTGCGTCTTTGTGTCGGTTTTATTCAGACGTCGCCGCTCTTCTTCTTCTTCTTCTTCTTCCTCCTCTTCGTCCTCGTCCTTGTTGAGTCTCGTTTGTCAAAGCGGCGTCGGCTCTTGTTAAGTTCCTCCTGAAAATGCAGCCCCCCCCGCAGAGATGATTGCTCTCCAAATCACAGAGGCGGTTTTTGAAGGTTTGATTTGGCTGCGCGTCGTCCCTCTCCTCCTGCCCTGGATTCGGATTGGAGCTCGCAGAGTCCCCGCTCGCTCCGGGGTCTCTGCTGCGGCGGCGGCGGCGGCGGCGGCGGTTTCAGCTCGCAGACGCTCAGTTTGGTGCGACGTGTAAATAGGACAAAGATGAAACCGACACACGGATCACTGTTCGTTTTAACGTTTCAGACCGAGGTTTAAGAGCAAGGTTTAGTCCTGGTTTAGTCCTGGTTTAGTCAAGGTTTAGTCCTGGTTTAGTCCAAGGTTTAGTCCTGGTTTAGTCCTGGTTTAGTCCTGGTTTAGTCCTGGTTTAGTCCTGGTTTAGTCCAAGGTTTAGTCCAAGGTTTAGTCCTGGTTTAGTCCTGGTTTAGTCCTGGTTTAGTCCAAGGTTTAGTCCATGGTTTAGTCCTGGTTTAGTCCAAGGTTTAGTCCAAGGTTTAGTCCAAGGTTTAGTCCAAGGTTTAGTCCTGGTCTAGTCCTGGTCTAGTCCTGTCTAGTCCAAGGTTTTAGTCCAAGGTTTAGTCCAAGGTTTAGTCCTGGTTTAGTCCTGGTTTAGTCCTGGTTTAGTCCAAGGTTTAGTCCTGGTTTAGTCCTGGTTTAGTCCTGGTTTAACCCTAATAAAGTCCTGGTTTGGCCTTCATTTAGTGCTGCTTTAGTCCTTGTTCAGACCTGTTTTAGTCCTGGTTTAGTCCTGGCTCAGACCTATTAAAGTCCTGGTTTATTCCTAGTTTAGTCCTTGTTTGGCCTTGGTTTAGTCCTGGTTTAGTCTTGGTTTGGTCCTTCATTTAGTCCTGGTTTAGACCTTCGTTTAGACCAGGCATGTCCAAACTACGGCCCGTGGGCCAAATGCGGCCCTCGGACAAATTTTTTTTGGCCCTCAGGCTTCCAGATGACTTGATCCAAATTACTTTACATCAATTAAAAATTTACTTTTTACTGCAAGTTTTTTTTTAATCTACTTTGGTAAAGCTCATATTTAATATTTAGTGTGTGTTTTTAAGGATCTTAGCATGAATAAAGACTTACGGCTCATTCTAACGTGTTTAAACATGCACATATTTAAATTATTCACTGTTATGAGCATCAGTCTACGGCCCTCGATCGGCCTCTGCTTCGTCTGTGTTTAGAGATGTGGCCCTTGATGAAAAAAGTTTGGACACCCCTGGTTTAGACCTTCGTTTAGTCCTGGTTTAGTCCTGGTTTAGTGAAGCTCTTGTGGGTTATTCTTGTTTCCGCTGATCCTGATTTAGTACTAAACTCTGACCTAGTTAAGTGCTGGTTTGGCCTTAGTTTAGTCCTGGTTTAGACGTAGTAAAGTCCTGGGTTTAGTCCTGGTTTAGTCCTGATTTTGTCCTGGTTTAATCCTTGTAAAGTCCTGCTTTGGCCTTAGTTTAGTTCCTAATTTAGTCTTGGGCCAGACCTGGTTCAGATCTTGTAAAGTCCGCGTTTGGCTTTGGTTTAGTCCTTGTTCAGCCTTATAGTTTAGTCCTAGTTTGGCCTTAGTTTAGTTTAGTCCTGGTTCAGACCTGGTTTAGTCCTGGTTTGACCTTACAGTTTAGTCCTTAGTTTAGACCTTCATTTAGTTCTTCATTTAGGCCTTCATTTTGTCTTTTGTCATTTGTTTAGTTCTGGTTTAGACCTTAGTTTAGTCCTGGTTTAGTCTTAGTTTAGACCTTCGTTTAGTCCTTAGTTTACTCCTGGTTTAGTCCTTTGTTTAGTCCTGGTTTAGTCCTTCGTTTAGTCCTGGTTTAGACTTTCGTTTAGACCTGGTTTAGACCTTTGTTTAGTCCTGGTTTAGTCCTGGTTTAGTCCTTGTTTAGTCCTGGTTTAGTCCTTGTTTAGTCCTGGTTTAGTCCTTCGTTTAGACCTGGTTTAGACCTTTGTTTAGACCTTTGTTTAGACCTTTGTTTAGACCTTTGTTTAGACCTTTGTTTAGTCCTGGTTTAGTCCTTCGTTTAGACCTGGTTTAGACCTTTGTTTAGACCTTCGTTTAGACCTTTGTTTAGACCTTTGTTTAGTCCTGGTTTAGTCCTGGTTTAGTCCTGGTTTAGTCCTGGTTTAGTCCTGGTTTAGCTCTCTTGTTGCGTTGGAGCGTCCTTTGAACACACGAGAAATTCAAGAAGTTCAGACCTGGACCCGACACCTTCAGGATCTCACCGTTCTTTTTTCTACACACCGATTTAAAGTCGCACTGTGTAACTTCTCAGGTAAACCTCTCACAGTAAACGTGGTCGGTCTGTCGGCGTTTTACCTGGAAGTCCTTGGGGGAGCGGGGCAGGATGGTGCGTCCCTCCTTCCACACGGGGCCCTGGTCGTTGGTCAGGGTCCAGAGCAGCGTCTCCTCCTGCTGGTCGTCTCGCAGGATCACGTTCAGGTGCCCCTCCGCCTCGCCCCACATCTGGTACGAGAAGACGAGGCACAGGGGCCCGGAGTCGGCGCCCACCGCGGGGCCGAGCAGGCGGGCGCGCTGCCTCTGGGTCTTCAGGCTCGCGTCGATGTGGAGGTAACTGTTCAACTCTGACGGAAAAAAACAAACACACAAAAAAAAAAGATTTAAGGTTAAAACGTCTTTTGGTTTTTGTTGATGAGTGAAATTTAATAACAAGAAAGTCCTGGTTTAGTCCTAGTTTAGTCCTGGTTCAGACCTAGAAAAGTCCTGGTTTAGTCCTAGTTTAGTCCTGGTTCAGACCTAGAAAAAGTCCTGGTTTAGTCCTAGTTTAGTCCTGGTTCAGACCTAGAAAAAGTCCTGGTTTAGTCCTAGTTTAGTCCTGGTTCAGCCCTAGTTCAGACCTGGAAAAGTCCTGGTTTAGTCCTAGTTTAGTCCTGGTTCAGACCTAGAAAAAGTCCTGGTTTAGTCCTAGTTTAGTCCTGGTTCAGGCCTAGTAAAGTCCTGGTTTGGCCTTAGTTTAGTCCTGGTTCTGTCCTAGTAAAAAGTCCTGGTTTGGCATTAGTTCGGCCTTAGTTTAGTCTTAGTTTAGTCCTGATTCAGATCTAGTAAAGTCCTAGTTTGGTCTTAGTTTAGTCCTGGTTTAAGTCTTTGGTTTAGTCTTAGTTTTAACCTAATTGAGACCGGGCTTTTGGTATTCATTTAATACTGGTTTAGTCCTGGATTAGCCCTGATTTAGTGCTGGTTCAGACCTAGATGAGACGCAGTTTTTGGTCCTAGTTTAGTCCTTGGTTTAGCCCTGGTTCAGTCCTGTTTCAGCCCTCGTTGAGCCCTAGATTAGTTCTACTTTAGCCCTAGTTTAGTCCTGGTTCAGTCCTTGGTTCAGTCCTTGGTTCAGTCCTTGGTTCAGTCCTTGGTTTAGTCCTTGGTTCAGTCCTTGGTTCAGTCCTTGGTTTAGCCAAGTTCAGTTTAGTTTAGTCCTGACTTAGTCCTGGTTCAATCCTTCGTTTCAGTCCTTGGTTTAGTCCTGGTTCAGTCCTTGTTTCCTCACATCCTTCTTCTCCCTTTTCGCAGAGTCTAACACCTCCGAGACCCAATCACCATCCATCACTACACTCAGGTCCAGTCAGGTCCCACTCAGGTCCCACTCAAGTCCACTCAAGTCCCACTCAAGTCCCACTCAAGTCCCACTCTTGTCCACTCAAGTCCCACTCAGGTCCACCTCAGGTCCCACTCAAGTCCACTCTTGTCCACTCAGTCCACTCAGATCCCACTCAGTCCCACTCAGATCCCACTCAGGTCCCACTCAGGTCCACTCTTGTCCACTCAGGTCCCAGTCAAGTCCCACTCAGGTCCACCTCAGGTCCCACTCAGATCCAATAAGGTTCATTCAGTTATACTCAGGTCCACTCAGGTCCACTCAGGTCCACTCAGGTCCACTCAGGTCCACTCATGTCCACTCAGGTCCCACTCAGGTCCCACTCAGGTCCACTCAGGTCCCACTCAGGTAGGTCCCACTCAGGTCCCACTCAAGGTCCACTCAGGTAGACTCAGGTCCCACTCAAGTCCACTCAGGTCCCACCCAGATCCACCCAGGTTCACTCATGTCCAGTCATGTCTCTGGAAACAAGTGCGTCCTCGTGAAACAATGGGGGAACAGAAGGATCATGGAGGAAGCGGAAAAGTCCACTCCAGCTCAACAATGGTCCACTGCACCGAGTCATGTGTCCGACTCGAAGCCCTCGGGACTCGCTCCGTTCCACTGAGTCACGCCCGAAAGGAACTCGCCGACGTTAAACTTTTACAAATCGGACGTTTCATTGTGAAGGGGGGCGCTGAGAATCATGTCAAAGGGATTCTGGGAAGCGGAGCCAACGGGAAACGGAAAATTAAAGTGTTTATGACGAGTTTTGACACTCATTTTACAACAACACACTTAAGAACATTTTAAATATTTACGATTTGGGCGAGAATATTCACTCTCCTTTTCCTGATTTGGACTTTTTTTTTAGGTTTTTATAATGTCACTTCCCGGCTGGAAATTGTGACATCACACTTGGGAATTCCATAATTGTTACCGAGCAACAATAAACTCACATTAATTATTAAATTATTATTTAACAAATCCAAAATAAGAAAACAATTTTATTTTGTTATATCAGAAAAATGTGATTCTTGTGTAAATTGTGTTGAACTTCAGGACAGAATGTAACAGATAATACTCCCTACAACTGTACAACTCACCCTTATGTCACAGATAATACTCCCTACAACTGGACAACAGACAATACTCCCTACAACTGTACAACAAACCTTTATGTAACAGATAATACTCCCTACAACTGTACAACACATAATACTCCCTACAGCTGTACAACAACAAACTTTTATGTCACAGATAATACTCCCTACAACTGAACAACTCACTCTTATGTCACAGATAATACTCCTTACAACTGGACAACAGATAATACTCCCTACAACTGTACAACAAACCTTTATGTAACAGATAATACTCCCTACAACTGTACAACACATAATACTCCCTACAGCTGTACAACAACAAACTTTTATGTCACAGATAATACTCCCTACAACTGAACAATAAGTCTCCCTTTATGTGACAGATAATACTCCTATAACTGTACAACACATAATACTCCCTACACTGTACAACAACAAACTTTTATGTCACAGATAATACTCCCTACAACTGTACAACAGATAATACTCCCTACAACTGAACAACTCACCCTTATGTCACAGATAATACTCCTTACAACCGGACAACAGATAATACTCCCTACAACTGAACAACTCACCCTTATGTCACAGATAATACTCCCTACAACTGGACAACAGATAATACTCCCTACAACTGAACAACTCACCCTTATGTCACACATAATAATCCTTACAACTGGACAACAGACAATACTCCCTACAACTGTACAACAAACCTTTATGTAACAGATAATACTCCCTACAACTGTACAACACATAATACTCCCTACAGCTGTACAACAACAAACTTTTATGTCACAGATAATACTCCCTACAACTGAACAATAAGTCTCCCTTATGTGACAGATAATACTCCCTATAACTGTACAACAGATAATACTCCCTACAACTGAACAACTCACCCTTATGTCACAGATAATACTCCTTACAACTGGACAACAGACAATACTCCCTACAACTGGACAACAAGTCACCTTTATGTAATGGATAATACTCCCTACAACTGTATAACACATAATACTCCCTACAACAACAAACCTTTATGGAACAGATAATACTCCCTACAACTGTAAACACTTATTTATAACACTTATTTTAAGTTTATTAATAAAACGTTAAAAGACTTTTATTAATAAAGTTTATTAACATTATTAATAAAAAGTTAATAAACAAACTTTATTAAACTTTGTTTAAGTCTAAATTCATTTCGGGCGTCTTTAACTTGAGACGTGTGACTTGTCCTCGTCTCAGCAGTAAAATAAAACTGTATATAGAACATCTGTCGAGTTACTGCATTTATTAACTCCTCACACTGAAACTGCATGTGTATTATTGTGTATTATTGTGTGTTATTGTGTGTTATTGTGTATTATTGTGTGTTATTGTGTGTTATTGTGTGTTATTGTGTATTATTGTGTATTATTGTGTATTATTGTGTATTACTGTGTATTACTGTGTATTATTGTGTGTTATTGTGTGTTATTGTGTATTATTGTGTATTATTGTGTGTTATTGTGTATTACTGTGTATTATTGTGTGTTATTGTGTATTATTGTGTATTACTGTGTATTATTGTGTGTTATTGTGTGTTATTGTGTATTATTGTGTATTATTGTGTGTTATTGTGTATTACTGTGTATTATTGTGTGTTATTGTGTATTATTGTGTATTACTGTGTATTATTGTGTGTTATTGTGTGTTATTGTGTATTATTGTGTATTATTGTGTATTACTGTGTATTATTGTGTATTATTGTGTATTATTGTGTGTTATTGTGTATTACTGTGTATTATTGTGTATTATTGTGTATTATTGTGTGTTATTGTGTATTATTGTGTATTATTGTGTGTTATTGTGTATTATTGTGTATTACTGTGTGTTATTGTGTATTATTGTGTATTACTGTGTATTATTGTGTATTATTGTGTATTACTGTGTATTACTGTGTATTATTGTGTATTATTGTGTGTTATTGTGTATTATTGTGTGTTATTGTGTATTATTGTGTGTTATTGTGTGTTATTGTGTATTACTGTGTATTATTGTGTGTTATTGTGTGTTATTATTGCGTTGGTGTTTGCAGTCGGCTCATAATCCGCTCCGTAAATAGCCTGACAGTTTTACAATTGGTTTCCACGGCGGCGAGGGGAAGACAAAGGCCCGGCGGGGGGGGCGGCGGAGGGCGAGGGGGGCGGGGCTTCCGACTCCAATACAACAATACACAGAGGTAATGTGCCGCAATAGACTTTAATAGAGTGTGAAAAGCAATGCAGGAAGTGTAGGGCAGGATGTTGGAGTACGAGGACGAGGTTTCATGTTTTTCTCATTAGAGTTTCGTGGGTTGTACCCGAGGTCGATGTTTTTTATCACAGTTTTACATCAGTTTAGTGACAGTGTGTGGGGAAAAAGAAAGTTAAGAAATGTACAAAAATGCAGGAAGTAAAACAGAATCCCTCTCCTCTCTGTGTCGTCAACAGAAACACTCAGAACTCACAAGGAAGAACTTTTTCTTAAAATTTAAAGACTCTTTTCACGAAATAAACTGACATTTTGTAAGAGTTGAAATAAATAACAGTATTAGTAGAAGTTGTAGTAGTAGTAGTAGTAGTAATATTTGAATTGTAGTAGCAGTAGTAGTATTAGCAGTGGTGATGTAGTAGTAGTAGTAGTAGCAGTAGTAGTAGAAGGAGCGATAGTAGTAATATTTGAATTGTAGTAGTAGAAGTAGTAGTAATATTTGAATTGTAGTAGTAGTAGTAGCAGTAGCAGTAGTAGTAGTAGTAGTAATATTTGAATTGTAGTTGTAGTAGTAGTAGTAGTAGCAGTAGCAGTAGAAGGAGCAGTAGTAGTAATATTTGAATTGTAGTAACAGTAGTGATGGTAGTAGTAGTAGTAGTAGTAGTAGTCGTAGCAGTAGCAGTACTACTAGTAGTAGCAGTAGTAGTAATATCTGAATGGTTGTAGTAGTAGTATTAGCAGTAGTAGCAGCAGAAGTAGGAGTAGTAGCAGTAGGAGTATCAATCACAGTAGTAGTAGTTTTTTTTAGACTAAATTAAAGCCTGTTTTTCATTTTGGTTTTGTTTATTGCAGTAATAATCATGCGTCCTGACTGTGAGCGGCTCGCCTCTCCACAAACCCGACTCTTCTTTGACCTGGAGGCTCGTTTCCACGGCAACGTTGTGTCTTTGGCCGTAATATTCCACAGTGGGGCATTAAACGCGCCCATCTCCACGTAGAACGATCTGACGTGCGGGTTTTAACTTTCTGCAGTATTTCCCTGGACTCGTACAGACTTTCACACCTGCAGAAAGTTCCGTAATAAAACTTTAAAGCAGCGGCCGTACAGTGAGCTTATCCGAAAAACCAAACGTCGCAAAGAGCCGCGGGGGTCAGAGGTCACGAGCGCTCGGTTTCTCTCACATCAAACGGAGGATTAAACGCCAGACGGAACGCGCCGCGCCTCTAATCCCGTTTGGGAGGGCGGGCTCTTTGACCTCTGACCCCGGACACGGATATCAAAGCGGCGTGTGGCGGCGACGTGACCCAACCGGCGCCCGAATAAAAGACGACGCCGGACTCACGCCTCAAATCCTCCTCGTCATCGTCATTGTCGAGAAACACCACGAGAGAGAAAGAGTCTGGGATAAAAACTCGACTTAAAACAAATGGAAACGTGCCGGAGTATTGGAGGAAAAGACACACTGCGGAACTTTTCCTTAACCACATCTCCATGGAGACCAGCAGGCGTCAGAGCGTCCACAGGTCACATGACACAACTGGAGGTTTTAAGGAATATGTTTTCATACCAAGTGAAAGTAAAATCACATTAACATCTCGTAGTAGTAGTAGTAGAAGTAGTTGTAGTATTTGTAGTAGTATTTATAGTAATAGTCATAGTATCCGTAGTAATATTTTTAGTAGGTGTAGTATCGTAGTAGTATTTTCAGTAGTTGTGGTATCCTAGTAGTATTCGTAGTAGTATTTTTAGGAGTCGTAGTTGGGTATTCATAGTAGTATTATTAGTAATTGTAGTATCGTAGTAGTATTTGTAATAGTATTTTTAGTGGTCGTAGTCGGGTATTCATAGTAGTATTTTTAGTAGTGGTAGTATCGTAGCAGTATTCACAGTAGTAGTCATAATAGTATTCGTGGTAGTAGTATAGTAGAGGTATTCGTAGTAGTAGTATTCGTAAGGAGTATTTGTAGTAGTCGTAGTATTGTAGTAGTAGTATTCACAGTAGTAGTCATGGACATTTGTAGTAGTGGTATCGTAGTATTTGTAGTAGTATTCATAGTTGTAGTAGACGTATCGTAATAGTATTAGTGGTATTCATAGGAGCATTTATAGTAGTAGTATCGTAGTAGTATTCATAATAGTATTCGTACTAGTAATCATAGAAGTAGTAGTAGTAGTATCAGTAGTAGCAATAATAGTAGTAGCAGTAGTAGTAGTAGCTGTAGTAGCAGTAGTAGCAGTAGTAGTAGTAGTAGTAGTAGTAGTAGTATTTTAATTTAAAGACATTTGAACTCCACATTACTTCGTCTTCGTCTCTTTCTCTTTCTTCTTGTTGTTTTGTTTCTAAATGAGCTCGTTTCAATTTAAGGACTTATTTTAATCAAATCGAAAAACGAGGCAAACGCAGCGAGGACGAGGACGACGGCGGGAAACAGACGCCGCTTTAATTACGTCCGACCGAGGAGAAAGATAAAACAAAACTAATGGATTTGGGTCATTTTCCAAAGACCAGTTTTGTTCTGTGCAAACGCATTAGGCTCTGCACACGGCACCACAATCACACGACACGTAAACGCACACTCTGGGGTCCCACACCTGCTCGTTACTATGGAGACGTCACTGCTCTGTCTGGAATGTTCCGCAGTGTGACTTTAAACAGCTCCACTTTACATTTATTCAATTACATGTGGTTTTATAGCTCAAAAATACCAAGAAAAACGGACATTCTGACTGTGAGCGGGGTCGCCTCCCCACAGATCTGACCTGGAACTTGGTCTGGACCAGTCTCCATGAAGATAGAAAGGTTTAATGCCACACTGTGAAACATTCCACACAAAGCAATAACATGTACCTTTACAACTGTGTTCATGCGTAGAAGTCCTGGTTTAATCCATTTCCAGTCCTGGTTTAGTTCCAGTTCTAGAGTCAATCCTGGTCTAGTCCTGGTTCAGGTTTAGTCCAAGTTTAGGTCTAATCCCCAGTCTAATAGTGGTTTAGTTCCACGTATAGTTACTATTATGGAATTATGCTATTGTAGTAGTACAATGTAGTAGTAGTAGTAGTAGTAGTAGTAGTAGCAGTAGCAGTAGTAGTAGCAGTAGTAGCAGTAGCAGCAGTAGTAGTAGTAGTAGTAGTAGTAGTAGCAGTAGCAGTAGCAGCAGTAGTAGTAGTAGTAGTAGTAGCAGTAGCAGTAGTAGCAGCAGCAGTAGCAGCAGTAGTAGTAGTAGTAGTAGTAGTAGTAGTAGCAGTAGTAGCAGTAGCAGCAGTAGTAGTAGTAGTAGTAGTAGCAGTAGCAGTAGCAGCAGTAGTAGTAGTAGTAGCAGTAGCAGCAGTAGTAAGTAGTAGTAAGTAGTAGTAGTAGTAGTAGTAGTAGTAGTAGTAGCAGTAGTAGTAGTAGTAGTAGTAGTAGTAGTAGTAGTAGTAGCAGTAGTAGTAGTAGCAGTAGTAGTAGCTAGTAGTAGTAGTAGTAGTAGTAGTAGTAGTAGTAGTAGTAGTAGTAGTAGTAGTAGTAGTAGCAGTAGTAGTAGTAGTAGTAGTAGCAGTTAGTAGTAGCATTAGTAGCAGTAGTAGTAGTAGTAGTAGTAGTAGTAGTAGTAGTAGTAGTAGTAGTAGCAGTAGTAGTAGTAGTAGTAGTAGTAGTAGTAGTAGTAGTAGTAGTTAGTAGCAGTAGCAGCAGTAGTAGTAGTAGTAGCAGTTAGTAGTAGTAGTAGTAGTAGTAGTAGTAGCAGTAGTAGTAGTAGTAGTAGTAGCAGTAGTAGTAGTAGTAGTTGTAGTAGCAGTAGTAGTAGTAGTAGTAGTAGTAGTAGTAGTAGTAGTAGTAGCAGTAGTAGTAGTAGTAGTAGTAGTAGTAGCAGTAGTAGTAGTAGTAGTAGTAGTAGTAGTAGTAGTAGCAGTAGTAGTAGTAGTAGTAGTAGTAGTAGTAGTAGTAGCAGTAGTAGCAGTAGTAGTAGTAGTAGTAGTAGTAGTAGTAGTAGTAGTAGTAGTAGTAGTAGTAGTAGTAGTAGTAGTAGTAGTAGTAGTAGCAGTAGCAGTAGTAGTAGTAGTAGCAGTAGTAGTAGTAGTAGTAGTAGTAGTAGTAGTAGTAGTAGTAGTAGTAGTAGCAGTAGTAGTAGTAGTAGTAGTAGTAGTAGTAGTAGTAGTAGTAGTAGCAGTAGTAGTAGTAGCAGTAGTAGTAGTAGTAGTAGTAGTAGTAGTAGTAGTAGTAGTAGTAGTAGTAGTAGCAGTAGTAGTAGTAGCAGTAGTAGTAGTAGTAGTAGTAGTAGTAGTAGCTAGTAGTAGTAGTAGTAGTAGTAGTAGTAGTAGTAGTAGTAGTAGTAGTAGTAGTAGTAGTAGCAGTAGCAGTAGTAGTAGTAGTAGTAGTAGTAGTAGTAGTAGTAGTAGTAGTAGTAGTAGTAGTAGTAGTAGTAGTAGTAGTAGTAGCAGCATTAGTAGTAGTAGTAGTAGTAGTAGTAGTAGTAGTACCATGACTGTGTAGTGACCACATGAGGGGGGCGTTGGGGTCGTGGGTCCATCCACACAGACCGTGGTCGAAGTCACACGCCGCGTCTGCAGGGGGCGCTGTGGCTGCTGAAAAATCAATCAAACAAACTTTATTTATAAAACACTTTTCATTTAAAAAAAAAAAAAACACAAAGAGTTTTACAGAGATTAAAAATAATCCAGTCACTCACCTGTTGTCGTCACGGTAACAGTGGTCGTCTCGGTGACAGGAGGCAGAGTGGGCGTCACCGTGTCAGCAGGAGTGGACAGTTCTGAGGAGAAAATAAAGAAAATATTAAGGTTAAATAAATACAAACATTTATCAATCTAACAAAAACAAACACAGGAATATTACAGAAAAAAAATAAAAAATACTGATTTAAACCCGATTTATGATTTATTTAATCCTGGTTTAGTCCTGGAGTAACTCTGGTTCTAAAGATGGTGTTGATTTATAAATCCTTGTTCATGTTTGATTCGGTCCTGGTTGAGTCCTGGTTGAGTCCTGGTTGAGTCCTGGTTGAGTCCTGGTTGAGACTAGGTTTAGTCCAGGGTTCACTGTAGGTATAATCCACATCACATCATGGTTTAGTCCTAAATTAATCCTGGGTTTGGTCCTGAATAAGATTTAATACATTTTTGTTTATCAATCCTCCTTTAGTCCTGCTTCAGATTGCACCTGATTTGGTCATGGTTTAGTTCCAGTCTAGTCCCAATTTAGTCCGAATTTACAAAGGACCAGGGATTTAGTCCTGGTTTAGTTTTGGTCTAGTCTTGGTTTATAAAAAGAAAACAGATTTACACCTGCATTAGTTCTGATTTAGGCTTGGTTTAAAGTGAACCTTGTTTACACCTGGTTTAGACCTGATTAAGGCTTGGTTTAAAAAGGACCCGTTTTTGACCTGGTTTAGTCCTGGTTTAATCTTGGTCTAGTCTTGGTTTATAATGAAAAATAGATTTAATCCTGATTTAGTCCTGATTTACACTTGGTTTAAAGTGGACCTGTTTTAGACCTGTTTTAGACCTGTTTTAGACCTGTTTTAGACCTGTTTTAGACCTGTTTTAGACCTGTTTTAGTCCTTGTTTAGACCTGTTTTAGTCCTGGTTTAGACCTGTTTTAGTCCTTGTTTAGTCCTGTTTTAGTCCTTGTTTAGACCTGTTTTAGTCCTTATTTAGTCCTGTTTTAGACCTTGTTTTAGACCTGTTTTAGTGCTGTTTTAGTCCTTGTTTAGACCTGTTTTAGTCCTTCTTTAGTCCTGTTTTAGACCTTGTTTAAGACCTGTTTTAGTCCTTGTTTAAGACATGTTTTAGTCCTGGTTTAGCTCTGTTTTAGTCCTGGTTTAGCTCTGTTTTAGTCCTTGTTTAGTCCTGTTTTAGTCCCTGTTTAGTCCTTGTTTAGTCCTGTTTTAGTCCTTTTTTAGCTCTGTTTTAGTCCTGGTTTAGTCCTTGTTTAGACCTGTTTTAGTCCTTTTTTAGTCCTTGTTTAGACCTGTTTTAGTCCTGTTTTAGTCCTTGTTTAGACCTGTTTTAGACCTGTTTTAGTCCTTTTTTAGTCCTTGTTTATACCTGTTTTAGTCCTTGTTTAGACCTGTTTTAGTCCTGTTTTAGTCCTTGTTTAGACCTGTTTTAGTCCTGTTTTAGTCCTTGTTTAGTCCCTGTTTTAGTCCTTGTTTAGACCTGTTTTAGTCCTTTTTTAGTCCTTGTTTAGACCTGTTTTAGTCCTTGTTTAGACCTGTTTTAGTCCTTGTTTAGACCTGTTTTAGACCTGTTTTAGTCCTTTTTTAGTCCTTGTTTAGACCTGTTTTAGTCCTTGTTTAGACCTGTTTTAGTCCTGTTTTAGTCCTTGTTTAGACCTGTTTTAGTCCTTGTTTAGACCTGTTTTAGTCCTTGTTTAGACCTGTTTTAGTCCTTGTTTAGACCTGTTTTAGTCCTTGTTTAGTCCTGTTTTGTTTAGACCTGTTTTAGTCCTTGTTTAGACCTGTTTTAGTCCTTGTTTAGACCTGTTTTAGTACCAGTCTGACCTTGTACTTTCCTCTGCACATTAAAATAAATCGTGTCATTCCTAACAGCGCTGACAGGCGTAATTAAATCGTTTGTGGCCGGACACAAACGCAGGAAGTGCAAATGTGAGAGCGGAAATCACACTCAAAACGCCGAAACGAAACGCGCTACCGTCCGCGGCGCGATCCGTGAACGCCGATTTACTCCGCCGATTTACTCCGCCGATTCCAAACCGAGATTATAAAAGTGGGTTAACCGTTGGCGGGAGTTCGATTGCACACAAAGATAGAGCTCGGGTTTAATAGTTTTGTCTCAGTTGTTGATAAAAATCTCTAATTTCACGGTTTGGAAAAAACGGATCGACGCAGATTTGGCTTTTGAAGATTTTGGGGAATTTTTATGTTTTGGTTAATTTATGCGTCCGGGATTTACATTTTTCTGAGTTAAGTTCAAGAGACAAGATGATATTTTCGACTGAAATTTTAAAATAATATTGTAAATAATTTCTTTGAAAATGAGGCGACTTTAATCCTGGTTTTGTCCTGGTTTAATCTCGGTTTAGTCCTAGTTTAGTCTTGGTGTAGTCTTAGTTTAGTCCTGCTTTAGTCTTGGTTTAGTCCTGGTTTAGTCCTGCTTTAGTCTTGGTTTAGTCCTGGTTTAGACCTGGTTTAGACCTGGTTTAGTCTTGGTTTAGTCTTGGTTTATTCTCAGTTTAGTCCTGGTTTAGTCCTCCTTTAGTCCTGGTTTAGTCCTTGTCTAGTCCTAGTTTAGTCCTCCTTTAGTCTTGGTTTAGTCCTGGTTTAGTCCCTGTCTAGTCCTAGTTTAGTCCTGGTTTAGTCCCTTCCTAGTCCTAGTTTAGTCCTCCTTTACTCTTGGTTTAGTCATGGTTTAGTCCCGGTTTATTCCGGCTTTAGTTTTACTTTAGTCTTCGTTTAGTCCCAGTTTAGTCTTATTTTAGTCCTGGTTTAGTCCTGCTTTAGTCCAACTTTAGTCCTGGTTTATTCCTAGTTTATTCCTAGTTTAGTCCTGGTTTAGTCCTGGTTTAATCCTGGTTTAATCCTGGTTTAGTCCTGGTTTAGTTTAGTCCTGGTTTAATCCTTTATCCTGGTTTAGTCCTGGTTTAATCCTGGTTTAGTCCTGGTTTAGTCCTGGTTTAGTCCTTTACAGTCTTTTAAAACCAGGACTAATTTCCAAACGTTTCTAAAAATGTACACGATTGTAAAATAAATGTTTAAATAAAATAATAAAGTTCTTGTCATGCCCATAAAAGGATTCTGTTCTCTGATTGGATGAAGATAATGGAGATACCAGGATGTAAACGTCCACATTCTTCCCTGTGGTGTTTTATTTGATCAGTTTAACTTTTATCTACAAACACATCACTTTATCTTTATCTGCTTTATGTTTTCTAAATATTTAAACCATGAAACGCCACAACCACTATTTATCACTCAAGATCTACTACGAATACTACGAATACTACTACTACAATTACTTCGACGACATCACCAGAGCTAATGCATTATCTTGGCTTTTTTTGTTTAAAGCTGCTGCTGTTTATTTTACGACCACAAATAAAACTAGTTATACTACTACTACTACTACTACTACTACTACTACAACACCACTACCATTACCACTACTACTACTACGACGACGACGACGACGACTACTACTACTACTACGACTACAACTACGACTACACTACTACTACCACTACTACTACGACTACTACTACTACTACTACTACTACTACTACTACTACTACTACTACTACCACTACTACTACCACGACTACAACTACGACTACTAGTACTACTACACTACTACTACGACTACGACTACAACTACAACTACGACTACGACTACTACTACCACTACCACTACAACCACCACTACTACGACTACTACTACTACTACTACTACTACTACTACTACTACTACTACGACTACGACTACAACTACTACTACTACTACGACTACGACTACTACCACTACTACTACTACTACCACTACTACTACTACACTACACTACGACTACGACTACGACTACTACCACCACTACTACTACCACTACACTACTACTACCACTACCACTACCACCACTACTACTGTACTACTACCACTACCACTACTACATTAGACAGTGTTGTTTGGAGCGCAGACACAGACGGGTGCGGTGGGTGCGGTGGGTGCGGCGGGTGCAGACGGGTGCAGACGGGTGCGGCGGGTGCAGATAACCCGGAGCACCCGTGGGAGCCTCTGTCCTGTTGTGACTGAAGGAGGATCCGGTCTGGACTCAAATCCCAGGTCTGGACTGAGGTCTGAGACGGACGAGTCTGAAGAACTCCCCCTGACCCCGAGTCTGAGTGTGTGTGTGTGTGTGTGTGTGTGTGTGTGTATGTGTGTGTGTGTGTGTGTGTGTGTGTGTATGTGTGTGTGTGTATTGTGTGTGTGTGTGTGTGTGTGTGTGTATGCGTGTGTGTGTGTGTGTGTGTGTGTAAAAAGTAAAATTAGTTTGAGTAGTATTACAGGATGAAGTAAAATGATAAAATATGTTTAAAAAAAAAACAAAAAAACAAAAAAACCACGACTTTAAAACTTAATTTAATTCCGCTCAATGTCTCGGACCAAAACAGGACTGAACCAGGACTGAAACAGGATTAAAGCAGGACTAAAACAGGACCAAAACAGGACCAAAACAGGACCGAAGCAGGACTAAACCAGGACCAAAACAGGGCTTAACCAGGACTAAAACAGAACTAAACAAGGACTAAACCAGAATGAAAACAGGACTAAACCAGGACTAAAACAGGACAACAAAAGCAGGACTAAACCAGGATTAAAACAGGACCAAACCAGGACTAAACCAACACAAAAAGAGAACTAAACCAGGACCAAAACAGGCCTAAACCAGGACTAAACCAGGACTAAACCAGGACCAAAACAGGGCTAAACCAGGACTAAAACAGAACTAAACAAGGACTAAACCAGAATGAAAACAGGACTGAACCAGGACTAAAACAGGACCAAAAACAGGACCAAAACAGGACCGAAGCAGGACTAAACCAGGACTAAACCAGGACCAAAACAGGGCTAAACAAGGACTAAACCAGAATGAAACAGGACTAAACCAGGACTCAAAAACAGGACAAAAAAAGGACTAAACAGGGAAAACCTAAAACAGGACTAAAAGGACTAAAGGACTAACAAGGACCAGACTAAACCAGGACTAAACCAGGCAGGAAAACAGGACAAACCAGGACTAAAC